TCTGTCCCCTCCATCTGCCCCTTTAAGGTAACATGTTTTTAAATTTTTAAACATTTCCGCTTGTTTGTTAAGCAGCATAATCAACCTTTGTTACTGGTCTGTTGGAAAGAGGCGTACTTTGTTGAAATTTCTCCAATTGCTTCCATGAAAAATATCACAGACAATACAGTAAATAGCTTTTTTGTAACACAAAGTTGATTCCCATTGGGTAGATTTGCATTTCCAGGGAGAAAAAGATAACTAGAAAAAGGATGCAAAACAAAAGTGTGCGTGTGTGTGTGTGTGTGACATGTCTGATGGAAGGATTAATTCTCCCCAGAGCCCAGAGTTCAACATTATTGAAGCAGTGTGGGATTGTCTGACAAAGAAGGAAACAAAAGGCAGCCGACATCCAAAGAAGAGCTCTGGGATGTTTTTCTAGAAGCCTGGAGAACTTTTCACCGAAGACTACATAAAGAAATGACAGAAAGCCTGTTGGAGGTGCTACATTTTTACTTTTTCAGTTGTTAAAATTGTACAAATAATACACAATACTGTTTTTACTTTGCATAATGTTTTATTTATGAACTGCCCTGTTTTCCTGGCATTTTGAAAAGAAATAAAGAGTGGTTCTTTTTTTCTTTTGCACCACAATGTATGGACATACCAAGTTTCAAAAGAACATGGGATATTACAAAAAAGATTCAAGAGAACAAAGACAAACTAAAGACATGAAAAATGACAAACCACGTAAAACCATCAACTCATCAAGAACACAAAAAAACGATTTTTGGTTTGAAAAGCACAACACAAGCAGACATTTTTCTGTGAGCCAGCACGAGGAGGACAGACATTCAGCACAAGCGTTCTGTAATCATTTCTCCTTCTTAAATAGAACCCATTCCCCGTGAGCGTGTGGCTGGTAGGAAAACCAGCACCAGCCCCAGGGCGGCTCCACTGTGGCTATCTGTGGCTATCTGTGGCTATCTGTGGCAGAGGCCGGACAGCTGAGGCCTCAGCCCAGAAGCTCCCTCTCCTCTGAGGGAAACACTCTCAGATGGGCGCAGTCGTGGAGAGGAGTGGAAAAAAAAGGAAAAAAAAGAGACGAAAATATCCATAAAGTTGGGTCTATAATTGGCTGCGCCTCTCCGCCTTTTTTTTTTTTTTTAAAGTGTGAGCACAGCCCTGTGGAGAACAGTAGAAGCCACCTAGCCTCGGAGTGAAACCCAACACTTTCCCCCCCCCCCCTTTCTGTCCCCTCCCACTCTGTCCAGCAGGACACAAGGTTGCAGAAACTCACCTAAAAAACACTCT